GGAGTCCAGGGACAGGGTCTAACTTTGACCCTAGGGTATATTTTAGCAGTGTTTTTAGAGCATTTCTTGGTTTTAGCTGCCCTGGTTCTGGTCCAGTTGTCCCAGAGTTCTGACCCGTTTAGACCCTGGTACATCTGGTTCTGTGAGTGACTACCAGGTACAGTTCATCTGACCCCATTGTCCTAGGGGCAGCAGCAGCTCAGGAGGTTGAGTGGGTTGTTCGGAAGTCGCAGGTTTGATCCCGGCTCCCACCAGAGAATGCTGCTGTTGTGCCCTTGGGCAAGACACTTCACCCACCTTGCCTGCTTGTGGTGGTCGGAGGGACTGGTGTTCAGTAGCCTTGCTTCTGTCAGTGCACCCCAGGGCAGCTGTGGCTACATTGTAGCTCATCCCCACCCTCGTGTGAATGGGTGAATGACTGACTGTGTTGTACAGCACCTTGGGGGGTTGTAGAAGGTGCTTTACAATGCCAGTTACCATTTACCCTTGTCTCTCAGCCAGGATGTCTATCACTAAGATCCACGCTCGTGAGATTCTGGACTCCAGAGGAAACCCCACCGTGGAGGTGGACCTGTGGACAGCCAAGGGTGAGCATCAGGATCTTCTGTGAGGGATGTCTCAGAGGTTCCTCCCTGTCAGTGTGCTTATGGTAAACGGTCTCTTAGGTCTCTTCAGAGCTGCAGTCCCCAGTGGAGCGTCCACCGGAGTTCATGAAGCTCTGGAGCTTCGTGACGGAGACAAGAGCCGTTATTTGGGCAAAGGTAGGAGATCATCAAAAACAGCAGGAGGCTTAAGTCCAGGTGCAGAACTTGTGTTTACACCTGTTTGATTGCAGGTACGGTGAAGGCTGTGGAGCATGTCAACAAGGAGATCGCCCCCAAGCTTATTGAGAAGGTACTGGGTTCCTCTCAGTCCAGCAGATGCACCTGATGGTTCAGTTGGACTATACATTTCCTTCAGGCTAAAGCTAGCTGCTCCTACCTATTGACCCACCTGTCTGTCCACCTGTACAGAAATTCAGTGTTGTTGACCAGGAGAAGATTGACAAGTTCATGCTGGAATTGGACGGGACGGAGAACAAATGTAAGGACTGGTCTGTTTGTCTCTCTCAGTTGTCCCCGTGTCTTTCTCTTTAGCTCCTGTCCATTTGTCTCACCTGTCTGTCTTTGTGTCTGTCCATCTGCAGCTAAGTTTGGCGCGAACGCCATCCTGGGTGTGTCGCTGGCTGTCTGTAAGGCTGGGGCTGCAGAGAAGGGAGTTCCTCTCTACCGTCACATCGCCGACCTTGCAGGACACAAGGATGTCATACTTCCTGTTCCCGTGAGTGGGACGGGTGTAACTGGGACAGTGTTCTCTGTGTCGGCATGGTTGGGCCGTTCTGTACGCTCTCTAAGGAACCTTGAAGTTGACCTGTAGGTCATTGTTTCTGGTCAATCTTCTGCTTGAACCTAAACCAGCTGAAGGATCATTGTGTCAAACTTGTAAAAATGAATGAAAGTCTTGTAGTTTCAGGTTAACTTGTCTTCCTCTGTCCAACCCAACCATGATGAAACATCTAACCTACAGCATGAATACCAGTTCCACCGATCTTCCCACTGTCTGAAGAGACTGGTCATGCTGTGTTTGTTCAGGCTTTCAATGTGATCAATGGTGGGAGTCATGCGGGAAACAAACTGGCCATGCAGGAGTTCATGATTCTACCTGTGGGAGCTGCCAACTTCCACGAGGCAATGAGGATCGGAGCCGAGGTGAGAAGATCGTTGTTTCACAGCATTGCTTCTGTCGCACACAGCCATGTCCACCTATGACTATGTTTCTTTGATGTCTTCAGGTCTACCACAACTTGAAGAATGTCATCAAGGCCAAGTATGGGAAGGATGCCACCAATGTGGGAGACGAAGGTGGCTTCGCCCCCAACATCCTGGAAAATAACGAGGGTAAGGCTCCGTGGGTCTGGTTGTGTCCCAGTTTAACATAGGACTGTTACCTGAGCCCTCACAGGTGCAAAGAACTTATCGGAGCAAATCACCGAGGACTCTCCACAAACAATACGATTTCCTCGGCCTGTAATCGGCTCAGAACCTGAATGTCTTGGGCCCGGTTCACAGAGCCCAGGTCCAGGCCCAGAATGATTTTCAAAACATGAGAGACCCCACAGATGTGGCAGAAAGAAGCTACAGATTGAACAGTGTTGGTCCTACAGTGTGTGGTGTGCCACCACATGGTGTCACCTGCTCAGACGGGATATCGTAACAGGCAGCACACTTGTTTTACAAAGGTCTCCTCTTCATTCGTGTCTCCACAGCTTTGGAGCTGCTGAAGACAGCCATTGAGAAGGCCGGTTACCCTGACAAGATCATCATTGGGATGGATGTGGCCGCCTCTGAGTTCTATCGCAATGGCAAATACGACCTGGACTTCAAGTCCCCCGATGACCCGTCCCGACACATCTCTGGAGAGCAACTTGGAGACCTGTACCGCAGCTTCATCAAGGGTTACC